TTGCTTGCTTGCTTACTTACTTACTTACTTACTTGCTTCCTTGCTTACTTACTTACTTACTTGGAAAGCCAGTTGATTGTCGGATTCGTGAAGTGATTGATTGAATTACTGACGGAGTGATTGTTAGACCGAGCTATCGACTGATTCATCGTTTCGTCATCTTGCAGGTGTGGGCTGGAAGCAAAAGTGGCGTCATTTATGTCTTAGACGCTAAGAGAGTTACAGTTGAAAAGGTATTATATGCCTTCTAAATACAGATTAATTCTTTATTTTCTCATCCTCAACTAGCCTCTCCCCTCATATGAACTGTCTGGAGGAGTCTTGTAAAAAATACCTTCAGAACACTTTTTCGAGAAACGAGTTAATTTCGTTACCCAAGTATCTCAATGTGTCCCTGACGCTCATATGGCACCGGACGGACTTTCGATGAAAATTGTGCGCTTAGGGGTTTTGGTTCACACGTAACCAGCGTAACCGAACGAACGTTTAGGCGACTAGCTTTTCAAAAATTTGAACGCGAAAATCGAGCTCAAGTTTTAGCCGGTACGATTGAAAGTTTCACCGGCGCAGCATGAACACCATGGCCGTCTAAATTTCTTGAACGACAAAGGCGTGGTTGCATGGATGCGTGGTAAATCACCTGCGAGATTTTCAAAGTAACGCCCTGCGGATGGGCAGATGGTAAAACCACTGACTGGGAAAGGTTTAAATTCAACTTGGTTCGTCAGTTCCGTGAGAAGGGAGCGAATGGTTCCATGTGATGTGTCCTGTCAAACTTTAAGGCGGTCAAAAATTGTCCCAGTGTGCCGTGTGAACACAGCCTATATCTCAGGAAGCAGGTAACATTATAGATATTGCACTGTTGTTACCCTTTCAATTTATAAGTTTTGCGATATTGCCCTCTCAGAAACGCGTAGGGGATTAGATGAGATGCGACCTCGGAATAAGCAATATTAGGAAATGTTGTCGAGGGAAAAAATTCCAGCTGTATAACAAATATGTGTATTTCATTGCAGGAATTGCTCTTGCACGAAGACCGTGTGCGTGCTATGTGCCTAACAGACTACGGACAAGTCATTTCGGGACCGGGATCTCGGGACGGGCGACTTGCTGTGTGGAGTTCAGATCTTTTGCAGTTGGTCCCGGGAACCGAGCAAAAGCCGAAGGTTCACACAGCCGAGGATAGTGGCTTTGAAGTGGTTCCGAAACAATGTGTCGTCAAGTTTAATCTTGGTCAGGACGATACAGCCTGTTACAGGACTTCAACGTATTAAGTGGGTGTGAAAGGGTCGAAGTCAGCCTGCAAATTTTTAAAAACATTTAAAATGAACTAATCTCGGTTGTTCCTAGTGAATAGCTGAGTATTGAAAGAGCTTTTTAATTAGCAACTGAGGAATGAGGCTGAGTATATCTCTTAATTCTTCATATCCTACGAAAGCTTTATTATTCATTCAAAATAATTCCTAGTTTTAAAACATAGCTAAAACATGCTTACCTGCATCGATGTTAAGTTCATGTAGGTTTGTCCAGCCCCGCAAATATTCTCCAAATAGCAGATGTCGCCCTCCGAGTTCTCTTCTTGCTGTTTTTGCCATGTTTTTAACTGTTATTTCGCCTAGTTCCAGCGGTAGTACTTACTCTTGAGACGAGTAGTGTCCGCCATTTTTGTTTTCACAACCAAACAACTCAACCTCGTCCCCAGGTCTTTTCGGTAACGGTGCCTCAACCTGTAGCAAGCGGGCTGCATTTTTGACGTCATTTCTTCGTTAAACACAAAATTCTTCCAAATTTGGTCATCAGTAACTGGTTATGGTGAATTATGTTTGTGCTTTTAGCCAATCAGAATTGGGGAAATATTTTGAATGGATAATAAGTACTTTTAATGCATTAGTGAACTTTTCCTTCTCCAAAATTGTGATATTTAAAAACAGCGAATTAGTGAGAAATAGAAAAAATTGTAAATATCTAAGAAAGTCCAAAGAATAACAGAAGAGAATTTTTCGCCTTGATTAGTCTTTTGATCTCTCTTAGTGATGAGGGGTTAATTTCTCCACATAGATACCGGTGGTTGTTATCGATCGATATCGATCAAGCAAAAAGGTCATGGTAAATGAAAAGAAATGATCAACAAATACAAATTCTTAATCTATTCAATATAGTGCGCAAAAAACTTGTACCCAAAGGTTGTCTTTGATATATATTTTTTGTATTTTTCAGCTGGTGTATTGACCCCCCCCCCCCCCCCCCCCCCCCCCCTTTTAATTTTTTTTTTTGTTTTTGTCTTTGCGTTTCGCCCCGGGCGGCGGAAAGGAGGGGTCTTTCTGGTTTGATGAGTTTTGTTGGGTGCGGTTAACGGTATTAATAGAATGAAATTAGGAGAAAAAAAAAAAAGAACTATAATTTAAAAAACAGAAGGAGACGCCTGCGTACG